TGGCATCTTTGGCTGGGCTAAACGGAGCTGGGGAAACAGCGTTAATGGGTGCGTGTGTGAGGGTGTGTCTAGCAGCCATGAGCATGTGACCGGGTTCAGCAGATTTCTCTCCGCATTGTGGGTAGGCATCACCAAAGCCACTGAGGGTCCCAAACAGAACAAAAAGGGAGAGGAAGGGCAAGTTCACTCCCTGGTTTGAGCTGAGGCATCCACCACCTCCTTCCCTCGGACATGGGTCTGGTTTGAGCCTTCAGACTAAGATCAGGACTTACCCTGTCAGCTCCCGAGGCTCAGGCTCTGGTTTGGACTGAACTACTTCCCCAGGTCTCCTGGGTCTCCACCCACAGAAGGCATGTCCTGGGGCTTCTCCGCCTCCTCTGTAATGCATGAGCTGATTCCTATAACAAATCTCCTTGTGTCTCTACAGACCCTACCAGTTCTGTGGCTCTGTTTCTCTGGAGAACCCGAATACAGAACAGCTGGGATGTTATGATCATATGCAGACTGTCTTCATGGTTCTTAGAAGCCGGGGCGTAAGGTGCCCTCTCTCTCCAGTCACACATCTTCCCGTCGAGTGTGAAGTTGTAGAGATTCCTTTCCACCCCATCGGCAGCACGGGAGCCACCTCCTCCCTGCAGAGGTCATGCCTCATGTGGGAGGGAGTCTGCCAGGTCTCCTGGCATCTAGTGCAGATGGTGGGAGGGTTTGTACTAAACCAGCCCCAATCCAGAAATCCACACGCCCTGAGCTCAATGGGTTTACAATCTAGGGCAAATGCTGATGAGTTTTATTGTGTTATGTGGGGTCCTGAAGAAGGAGTCTTGGCCTTGTTCACAAGGAATTACAATACGAGATGCACCTTGAGAGACTCATACTAAGAGGGAGATGTTTAGTCATTCACTCCAAGGGTATATGTTAAGGCTCCACAACATGCTAGGTCCTGTTTGGGAGGGCTTCCTGGAGGAGGAGGCATTTGATATGGACCTTAGAAGGCCTGTCAGGAATAGATATAAATTAAGATTTTAAAGATACAGCGACAATTTAGTGAAGAAAATGTATTATTTAGTATATGGGAATTGAAACATCTGTTTTGACCAGAGGTAGCATAATTCATTAAAATTAATGCCTGGAAGGATTTGGAGGAATTTTTGCTTTAGTTGAGATTAGTTTTGTTTTCACCAAAGTGGTTTCACCCCAATCAGTTCCCATAAATGTATCAGTTCAGTTCTGCTCAGCCTAATGTCAGTTTTGTGTGTGATTCACATTCCAGGCACTCGGGGTGAGTGTCGGCTCCTGCTTGCAGGATAGCAGCAAACAGGACAGCTCCGCTCTGCATCCACCCTGGCGATGAAATGAATTGGTTCCCCTTCCCCAAAATCAGACCCTCCCCCGCCACCAAAAAAAAAAAAAGACTGTTCATCTCTGTCAGGTTATCGTTCGATGTTTAGGTGAACTGACAGCAATTCAAACAATTTCCAAGCCACAATCAAACTAAAAACTAAAATATCAATCTAAACAAAACTTCCGAGAAATATTCAACAACGGCTAAGAACATCTTATCCAATGTGAATCTCTGTAATCCTGTGAAGTGTCTTTAGAAATAATTTTTTGGGAGATACCAGCAAGCGGACCATTTGTGGAACTAGTCTCAGCAACTGGCTTGTTCAGAGACGTGGCTTTCGGAGCCCCCGGTTTCCTGATGTGGCCTCAAGCCGCCTTGGCTCCTGGGAGGCTTCTAGCTCGCTCTCCTTATCCTCTCGGGGTCTAGATGGGGCAGGGAAGCTTTAGGACTAGGGGCTGGGTAACCTGGGCCACCCACCCCACCACCACCACCACCACCACCACCACCACCACCACCAAGGTCATCCAGGCCACCTGGAGCCAACGTGAAGCTCTTTTTCTGTCCCCTGCAGTGTCCGGTGTAAAGAGAAAGTCACTAAAACACAGGCCGGCAGATTTAAGAAGACGATGAAGCCCTGGTCCCCACCAGACCCCTCCCCAGGGCTCCTTCCTCCAAGGGTGGGCCCACCGGGACGCCCCCTGGAAAGCAGTTATGCAGGTGGAGCCCTGCGGTCCATCCAGGTCCTTCTCTCATCCGAGGCCTGAAGTAAGTCACTTCCTCTCCCAGACCCCCAGATTCCCCTTCTGTTCCCCAGGCAATAGACGAAGAGATATTTCTGCTGCTTTCTTCCTGCCTTGTGGCCCCATTGAACCCTTTTCGGCAACAGCTCGGCAGGGATGAGCCTCAGGGGTCCCACTTCTCACCCCAACCTGACCCCCACCTCCCTGGGCTGCTGGTGGCTTTACCTCTCTCCTTCCCTCTGTAAGTTCTAACCATCCATGAACTGCTTGCATTGTTCTCAGTAGAATATATTTTACACACACGAGAATATGGAGAATAAAATAACATCCCTGTATTAGCATCCTAGAACCAGGCAGCCTAGGAAGCAAAACCTTGAGGCATTGATCGAGAGCCTCCCGGATCCCTCCTCCTCCTCCAGAGGAAGCACCAGTCCTGAACTTGGAGTTTACTGAATAGTGTTTTTTTTTTTAATTTATTTTATTTATTTTTGCTGTGTTGGGTCTTTGTTTCTGTGTGAGGGCGTTCTCTAGTTGTGGCAAGTGGGAGCCACTCTTCATCGCGGTGTGCGGGCCTCTTGTTGCGGAGCACAGGCTCCAGACACGCAGGCTCAGTAATTGTGGCGCACGGGCTTAGTTGCTCCACGGCATGTGGGGTCCTCCAAGACCAGGGCTCGAACCCATGTCCCCCGCATTAGCAGGCAGATTCTCAACCACTGCACCACCTGGGAAGCCCCTGAGTAGTGTTTTTAAGGAAAGAAAATCAGTTTTATACTCCACAGACTTGAGCCACTGTCCTCAGAGCTTTGGGCCTCACGGGACAGTAAGAGGTCAAAATTCAATGTTGGGCACTTGTGGAATTCCCCACACTTCAGAGGAAGTACATGAAAGAAGAAAACCCACAAAACTATCACCTACCATCATAGTCACTTCATGAAAGAAAGGACATTTAACACAGAAACTATAGAAAGAGCATTTCTCAGAATTTAAAAAACTGAATACATTAGATTCATCAAAACGTCTTTATTTTTCTTGTTTCCACACAGAGCCTGGAACGCTTCCTCCTGGACCGGCCTGGCATTTAGGAGCCTCTCATTTAGAAACTAACTTCTATGACCTGCGTCCCAAAGAGGATGGGGACTTTCTTGGGGGGAGGGGGGGCGAGGGGCGGGGGGAACCACCCGGGGAGCCACCCGGGGAGCCACCCCCATCCAGGATGGGTGCCTGCTGCTGCCACCGTCCCCTCCTCTGATTGTGCCCCACTTCTTGTCTCCCATCTTATCTCCTCCAGATGCTACAGCCCCTCCACCCCCTCGGAACCCTCAGGGACAGGAGCCTCCTGCCTTTCTTCTCTGTCTCCCCACCTTCCAACCCAGGCCCGAGGAAAGGACTTCGGCCAGACCCTGAGTCAGGGCTAGGATGGCTGGGGCAGCCCTCTGAGGTCACAGGAGACTGAGTGACCCACTGAAAATGTCCCCAAACGGAACAACTTCATCAATACCATAGCTGCACCTGGGTAGCCTGATACCGTTCCCACTGCACTGGGACAGAGCTGTCACTCACCCGCCCACGTGCCGGAATGAGGGGGGCAGTAAAGGGCCGGGGCAGGTATTTTGCAGTAACTCCTCAGGTAAGAGGGCTCTGCCTCTCCCCACCCTGTGCTGAGAACCTTTGCCTTGGCTCTGGCTAGGATAGTTTTTGTTGCTGTTTTTTTCTGGTTTGTGTTTTGTTGTTTTTTTTTTTCTTTTAGCTGTGCTGCACGGCTTGAAGGATCTTAGTTCCCCGACCAGGTATCAAACCCACACCCTGGGCAATGAAAGCACAGAGTCCTACACTGGACTGCCAGGGAATTCCCCGGCTAAGATAGTTTTTAAAAAACACACAGCAACAGCACAGAAACCCAAGTTCAAATGGCACCTCAGCTTGACATGGCGGGGGGGGGTGCTGCAGGCAGACCCTCGTCTCCAGTCTCCATGTTCTGGACTCCCCCCACTCCTCCATGGGCGCTCCCCAGCCTGGGAGCCACTTCAGAGCCCCCCACCACAGAAAGGCCCTGAGAGGCTGCAGCCAAGGGGTCTGAGGGGGCCCCTTCCTCCCTGAGCCGTGTCCTCCTCAGATCTGACTGGGAAACGCCCCCCCAAGTGCAGCCCCCTGCCCTTTACCCACCAGAGCACCTCTGGTCCTTCCCATTCCCGCCTGTCCTGCACTCCTTCAGGTGGGGCAGGGCCGCTCCTCCGGGGCCGCCACCTTCACTGTAGAATATCCCATGTCTCAAAGGCAGGACGAGCACACGCGTGCGCACACGCGCTCACACATGCATGCGTGCACACACGCACCTTTTTCTTTCAACTTGAGCCTGAAGAACAGTTGGCTACATGCAAAAGATGATAAACTTCGTTTGTCGTGCAGGTACGTCCCAGTCCTTGGTCCAGGCTCCAGCCTCAGGTCCTGACCAGAAGCTCAGGCAGACCCTCGGGTCCCCTCCATCCCTCTCCCACCGCGTGGCGCTTGCCAGCCTCCTCGTCCACAGGCATCAGACGGGGGTCTACTGGCCATGTCCCCGACTAGGACCAAGTGAAAGAGGGAGAGGCTCAACAGAACCCCACCGTCTGGGGCCCTTGGACGCCCCCCATTCAAGCGCAGTGTCACCACCCCGAAGCTCAGATCCCTTTTATTCTGATCACCACGTCACTTTGGGGTCCTCACAACAGCCCTGTGAGGTAGGGAGCACCCCCGCATGAGCACACAAGGTCTCGCCGGGCAGAGAGCAGACCCCGGGCCCGGGAGAGGCCAGGGGTCCCCACGGGGAGGCCCCTCCCACCCACCACCTAGACTGTCCCTTGGCGTCCCCGGCTCAGAAGCCGCGCCGGACCCCGCAGCAGGCCTGGCGTCAGGCACAAGGGGGCGGCGGTCGGGAGGCTTCACTTCAGCATGAGGACGTGCACGAACTCCTCGTAGCTCACCTGCCCATCCCGGTCCATGTCAGCTTCCCGGATCATGATGTCCAGCTCCTCCTGGGACACCTCCAGCTGGGCCATGGCCTGCTTGAGCTCATCCATGCTGATGTGGCCGTCGCCATCCAGGTCGAAGGCGTGGAAGGCTGTCCTCAGGTCATCCGCTCTGGCCCGGGCCTGAACCCCCTTGGCTACCACTGCCAGGAACTCCTGGGAGCTGATGACACCATCCCCGTCTGTATCCTCCCTGGCGATGAACCTCTTCAGTGCGGCCTCTGACGGGTTCAGGCCTAGCTCCTGGATGTTGATAGCACTGTCTTTGTCCTTGTCGAATCTGTCGAAGGCCTCCATGAACTCGGCCACCTGCTCTTTGGACAGCTGCTCAGCCATGTCTCTCACACCTTCTACGGAGCTCCCTTCTGAGCTTGCTGCCAACCCGCCCAAGGGGCTCACGTCAGAGCTGGGACAAGCGGCGGGACCGAGGCTGTGTCGGTCTGAGGACAGAGCTCCAGCGGCAGCCTTGCCACAGGATGGGAACCCCCTCCTTTTCTGAAAATCCGAGCAAAGGGAGCAAGAAGACTCCCTCCTCACCCCACGTCCTGGGGTGAAATCCTCCTCCGAGGGAGGGACAGCCGGCCACAGACGAGAAATGCAGGAACTGGAGCGGCCGGTCTGCCCAGGAGAGGTGGCAGGCACCCCGGCCTCACCCACTCCCGATGGCCAACCACAGCACCCCAGAGGCTTTTCCCCATGTGATTCTCACAGGGACCCTGGCCAAGCTGGGGAGGGGGGCTCAAGAGGGCTTCCCCAATGTTAGAGACAGGGGTGGGAAGGGGAGAGGAGCCTCCCTCAGTGGACAGGGCAGGCCCTGGAGGAGTGAGAGGGCTGTGTCCAGCATTCCTGTCCTCTCTCGGGGCTGCTGGCCAGCTATCATCCCATGGAGCGGGGCTGGTGGAGGGCAGATGGTGGTAGAATTAAGTGGGATTCTCCCAGAATGGCGCTGCAGGTGTCATCACTCTCCAGCCCAGCGTGGCTGGCAGATCCTTAGGCGGGGATACGGCTGCCTGCCTGCCTTTTTGCTTCGGGAAAGCGGGTAGCCAGTTGCATGCAGAGCCTGGTGCACAGGTGGTGCTGAGACTTGTTTATTAAGTGAATGTTCAAAGTGTGATTTCAGAGCTGAGGGGAAGGCTTCCTGTCCCTACAGAATACTCCTCCTCTAGCTACCCAGTTTCTCTGATTCCGTTCTATTAAGACCAGAGTTCTCCACAGAGACACCAGGAAGGAGGGGACCCTTCATTTACAATCCCAGAGCGGTCCTGCCTGGGAGCTGCGGGAAGACGGGAAAGCACTGGGCTGGAGTGGGCAGCCCCTGAAGATGCCAGGGGGTAGGAGGATGTAGAATCGGGTGGCTGAAGCTGTGAACTTGGCCTGGCTCGTGGGTTTACTAAGTTAGCCCTAAGCACAGAAACCCATTTAGAAAACTCCCTGGACCCACGGTCTTACCTGTTTCATCTCTGCCCACTGCTCTGCGTAGCAGAGTTTAGATCAAGAGCTCGGGCCATGGGGACCCTGCAGGAGGAGGGGCATCCCCTTCCTGGAGGATGTTGAGTCCCCTGCAGCTGTGACAGGACGGGTGACCTGTCCAGGGCGGCTGGGTGAGCCCTTGGGGCGGAAGAGCCTTCACGCGCAGTAGCCATGTGTGCGAGAGTGACGTGTCTGCATGAGTGTGTGTTGGTGGGAGGTGTGCAGGCCTCCAGAGCCAGCACGAAGGCGGGTGGCTTCAGCTTCCCAGGGCCCTGACCCGGGAACACACGCCAGCGCGTCCACTGCTGTTTGGGTTTTGTGGGTGAAACACCGAGGAACCTGCAGGACAGGTCTTGGAGGCTCCTCTGCCTCCCCCGACTTGCAGGGACCTGCCCGTCCCTCCCTCTGTGCCAGTCTCCCTGGGGACGGCCTGGCCCTGCCCTTGCCCGGGGAGATCCACCCCGGGAAGCGAGAGAGGACACCGCTCGGGAGTCACTGTCACCCCGGGAGACCACTCCTGGCTCCGCGCCCTTCTTCAGGGGCAGTAGAGACGGAGGGTGATGGGGCTGCCCTCCCTGGAGCCCTGCTGGGCCCGCACCCCGAGCACAGGGCTCCCACCGAGGCCACAAAGCAGGTGGTTGATCACTGCCTTTGGACCCGGGAAGCTGTGGGTACGGGGCTGGCTCCCCACAAGCCTGGGGCGGGTAACTTCGCCTCCCCTGTGGTAGATGTTGGGTCTTGTTTCCCACCAGCCATCTCATGGTTCCCAAGCTCACCCACCCTTATTGTTATCCCGCGTTTGAGCACCACCGCCCTGGGTCCCTTGAGCATCTTGCTTCCAAAGCCTGTACATAAGCCACAGATACGTTTCCAGGTCTCTTCTTGGACAGATGTTTAATTATTAAAACCATCTACGTATCTGCAATGATTATCCATCGCTGCAATTTTCCCAACCGCCGTGGTTCACGGTCTCACCAATCCAGACATCCTTTACCTCTCACCCCTAACTCTAATCTCAGCCTTCTTTTTCCTCTGATGGGTTTCACTCCTATACCCACCTCCTCTCGTAACTCTTTTAACTCTTTTACATTCTAAGAAGTGGCCGAGGCTTTTGTCTTATCTACACAGCTGTCTCCTTTCCGTCCTCATCATAAGACCCTAGGAGCCCTTTCTATGCCACCATAGCTGTGGTCTCTCTCCCACAATCCTGTCCAGCCAACCAACAATGTGTTTCTCATCCTGCTGCTTTCTTTTGGGAAATTGCTCCTTCCTGCTCTGGAGCCTCGTATCAGCTTTAACTGGTCGACAGTGAGGAAGAGCTCTGTACACGATGCAACACGGCCCCTGGTACCCCTGCCACCCTCGGTGATGGGTTGATGAGGGCCTTTTGCATCTGTGTTCAGTGATGTCAGTTGCCACCAGCTTTACCCTTTCCTTGGACATCCATCCCTGCCTGTCAACACCTCATTGCCTAACCTGGTAGAGCCACGCCCATGCCTCTGCCCCATTTATCTGGGGGAGAGGGTGACATTCATATTCACACCTGAGCTCCTGTGTGCCAGGTGCCATGCAAAGGGCTCTAAAGGGTGATCTCATCTTGTCCTCACTGTTTATTTCTATGTTCCAGATGAAGCAACTGAGGCTCAGAGAAGTTATAAAACAGGTTCATGGAAGAGCCGGGAATTTGCATCTGGGTTCGCCCGACTGCAGAGCCCAACCCCTTCTGTCCCGCATCACGGCACAGCTCTTCTGATAGCCAACCTTCACACGCCAGCTGCTGAGGACACCCAGGCCCTGCCCTTGGAGCCCTAGTGAGAGCTGGCAGCCAGGCTCGACCTGGCATCAACACCTGACTGCATGAACTGTGGCAAAACACGGGCACAACTCTGCTCAGGGACCTGGCTTTGCTCTGGCAGAAGGGTGGGGGCTGTGGATTGATGGTAAGACCACAGATGAGCCTGAAGGAGATGTGTTTCAATCCCCGCTCTCTGCCTCTCACCAAGTACCTGGCTGGGCGGCACAGCCCAGATGATGCTGGTTACCTGATTCGAGTCAGTTTTACATTTTAAATTAGCTAACTGGGTCAGTGGATTTGGTACACAGGCGGTTCTCAGGACATCTCTATGAAGTCCTTGGAAACAATTTTACCGAGAACGCCATCATTTTGCAATATCCTTTCAGCATCACCTGCAGCCGTCAGTATGCATTAAGTCTACCATTGTTCTCCTATCTTCCGGAACATTGTGTGACAAACTGCCCTCTGATTCTAGCTTGACCTCCTCTCTATCTTGAGACCCTTGTCTCTGGCTCAACAGATTCCTTTGAACTTGAGGTTTTCCCCCTAATTTTATTCCAATTTCTTCACCCATATTAGTAATGGCTGTGCTTGCTGAACAGGTGGAAACAATGCAGGATTTTTGAAGATCTCTAGCCTTTAACTCTCCTTTAAGAGCTTTCTTCACTTTTTAAAAGCATGCCTGACCACTTTCTGGCATCTTGAAAAGAGAGTGGAGCTTTTTCTCCTTCCTTGGTCCTCCGTTTTATTATAATTTTGACATCCTTCTGTTCTGTTCTGGCCGGAGTTCTCCTTGTCCTGCTCTCCACGCCCTCCCCCAGATCCTGGCTTGACTCTCCTGCTTGATTCCACAGTGCGCAGGATCAGAAAAGGAAGGTGTTTGCTGTTATGTGATTCTCTCTTTTTTTTCTTGTTCGTAGAGCCTGTCATTTATACTGGCCCATTTCCCTTGGAGTATATTCCAAGCTGTTATCATTTACAGTGAAAAGTACTCTAAACCAGTTCTAAATATTGGGTTCACAGTTTTTTGTTTGTTTGTTTCCTCAAGCTACACCACTTTCCCCTGAGATGCATTTGCAATTCCTTCCTCCAAGTGGACTTTATTTGTATCTAGAAGCCACAGTTTTGGAATCCCCTGTTTCATTTTTAGCAAGGTGTTGGGTGGATTGGGGCACAGCCTGGGGGGCCCTTTCTCTTACTGGCCACCATGAAGAGCTCCCCCCCACAACCCAGAGCACCCTCCCCTTCCCCAGCACTTCACGTGTCATGCATCATCCATGTCCTTTCTGGAATGAAAACTGCCTGCCCAGGGTCTCCTCTCCTGAGGCTTCCCTCCGAAAGGTTGCCTTGGCCTTCACCCCATCAGGTCTAGGGGTCAGGGGCTGCCCAGGCCTGGGGATGCTCTCCAGAGCTGACCACAGAGCAGCCAGCTTTCCCAGGTGCCAGGAGGCCCATCTCTCCTGCATCCAATTGGTTACAGAGACCACACAAATGTTGGTTCTGCTAGCGCCCCACTAGCGAAAATAGCGATTCCAGCTTTTAGTCCCTTCTCTCCCAAGAACTCAGATCAGGCACGAAACCTGTGGTCTGGGTGAGGAAATGGAGGATGGAGGGGGTATTGGGGGTGGGATGCCAGGTCCCCAGACAGACCCTGCACTGAGCTCACCCCTCCTGTCTCTACGTCCCCAGGCGGGCATGTGGAAGGCTTTCTGTTGGTGGCTTTCAGAGCCAGGACTGGACCTTGGTTCTCCCTGGGATGCTGGGACCACACAGTTGATGACACAGCGTCATAAGCCCCCTCGCCCCATCCTCCCCATCACACAGGCCACGTGTGGCACGAAGCCCGCCCCCCCACCCCTGCCTTCACCCAATTCCGGTCAGTCACTCGTCCCGGGAGACCTGAGTTCTATCCCAGCACAGCCTCCACCCAGCCGTGTGACCTTGGTCAGAGCCTTTGTCATTCATTCAACAGATGTGCCGGAGCCAAGCTGGACCTCGAGAGCCTGCAGTGACCAGACACTCTCCCTTCCTCCAGGGATACTGGGACTGGAGAGAGATTCCCTCTGCAGCTGCAAATGCCCTCGGGTCCATTCCCCAAGGACAGCCGTCCTGGGCAGCATGAAGAGGACCTGCCTTGGAGCCAGGAGATCCTACTGCGAGGCCCATTTTTGTCCCTCACTAAGCAGTAGTACAGACCTGGGTAACTGCTCACATTTGATGGGTTACAGTGTCTGGAAAATGAGGGTGTTGCACTGGATGGTAGCTTTCAGAATTTCATTAGCAGTCGAGCCACGTTGCAAATGGAATCTTATTCGTATGACAGATAATCGTTAATATTCATTGGGCTCTTACTGTTCCAGCTACCCTCCTGAACCTTCCATGCATTGACACACAGTGCCCTGGGCCACACTGCGCCCAGTTTACAGGTGAGGACCATGAACCAGAGAGCGGCAATTTGCCCAACACAGATGAAGCGGTTAAAAGCAGACGTTCCTGCTTGGCGGTGGGGAAAGGAAGGAAATCGAGTTGCTCCGCTTCACCTTCTCCTGCTTCCTTGGCGTCTCTGGAAGGACCTCTGCAGAGTCCAAGGGTCTCTGAGACCAAGTTCAAGTCCACTGGATTAATGACCTCAAAGGGAGCTGGAACTGTGATTTTCCAAGCCACTTTGCTCCTTCTGATGGCTTGTCCAGGTGCCCAGCTCACACCCCAAGCCTCCTGCTTCCTCCACACCTCACGGGCTCACCATTAGGTACACGCATCCACACATGAAGGCTTGAGCCTCGTGCATGTCCTCGTGCACGCGCGCGCACGCACACGCATCTTCCTGTATTAAACACAAAGGTTTTCATCACCACCGTAAACTTCAAAGTCTTGGAACTTGGAACCAACACCTTTCCGGCCTCTTAGTGAGTCCCAGACCCCTCGGGGGAGAGCAGCTTGTTCTCCTCAATGTAATTAGCACCACCACCCACCCACCCACCCCGTGGCGATGGGGACTTAGAGGAACTGATGGGCCTCCTTAACCACTTACCAAGTGCGTCTTGATATCAAAAGATTTGTAGCACGGAGTTCTAGCGCCTCAGCAGTATCAGTCCCTGTAATAGTTTCAGTTTGTCAATTTTTTTCAAAACATCAGATACAAGTTTGAAAGGCAGGCGGGTCATACACGTGAGCCCTGGGCCCTCCAGCCTGCTCTCCTCTGGCCTCTGCCCCAAGGCCAGCCCAGAACCCCTTCCCCTGCCCACGGACAGGGGAAAATTGGGAAAAATTACTGAGCCCTCAGGAATCACAAAACATCGTCCTTTTCCCAGGAAAGCAGACTTTGACTTGTTTGGCTACTTTTATTGTGAGATTTAGCACCGATGTGCTTTGGTTTTGGGTGATGGTTTAACTCTGAGTTAATCAAAGTGGCTCTCAGCAGATAAACACAGGCCACTTTATGTCCCTGTGTCGCCTTGGGCATGAAAGCACGATGAGGCCCCCAGAGACACTGAGGGTGCAGGTGGAAGGATTAAAGGCAGGTGGGGCCCCGGGGTGTACCCTGGAGGCTGACTTGAAGACCAGATGCCTGGAGAAAGCAGCAGGACCTGCCAGGAGGACCCGCCAACCCAGGAAGACCCAGGAAACGCTCAAAACAATCCAGGCCTTTGGCTGCCTCCGCACTCGGTGGACTTCATTCCGCAGGTGAGACCTTGAATCATAAACGCAAACCACCCGGCAGCATGTGATCCCTGAATAGGAGGCACAAGGCAGTGCCTGTGTCCTGGAAGGTGACGTGCCTGGTTATTTGTCAGACTTCAGTTCAACGATGCACAGCTCCGACCCAGATCAATGGTCTCCTCCCTGAACTGAAACTGCAGCCCAGCCCGGGACAGGCCTGGAGGAATCTTGATGATTCACACGAGGCCAAGACTGAGCAAACGTCATTCTCAGAGCTGGCTCAGGCTCTGAGGCTGGAACGGCCTTCGGTGGGAGGTGAGAACAGCCCAGGACCCCTGGTTCCCACACAAGGAGCACCCCCCCATCTCCCCAGCTGAGAAGACCCTCTCCTGGCAACGAGTGTGACTAAGAAAGTATTGCTTTTCCCGTGGTCAGTATAAGTCAGAAAGTAGAGCAAAGCGTCACCAGCCCCTCCCGGCCTTGGAAAGCAAGAAGCACTAGAGGAGCTGGTCAAGACTACGTGTGCAGTACAGAGGCCACCGCTGTCCCCAGGCGAGCCTGAGCTCCACTGTCGGTGTCTCATCACCACGTCCCGTGTTTGTCTTTGTCCGTCTTGTTGCTTCTTAGACTGTGAACTGCAAAGATCCCAGAACAGCAATGCAAGCTGCATGCCCCCTGCAAACCCAGGTGTGTCTCATCATTTCTGGGAGATTTAGGGATGGAAAGTCAGAGGTAGGAACTTTAGCTGCTGAGACCAAACACCCCAAAGACAGCCAGAGACCAGGGATAGCCCTGCACTCACCCTGGGAAGAGTGGGTTGGAATCGGGGAGGCCCCAAGGAGCTATTGGGAGTTTCCAGATTGTCCCTAAAGCCACAGGGGAGAAGGTGGAGGCCCTACCCCAGGTCCTTGGGCCACACTCCACTTCCCAGGACCCTCTCCCACCTCCGCCCTGAGCCCTCCCTCCGCCTGGTCCCTCTAGATTCACGCCAGTCGGACATTCGGCTCTGAGGGGAGAAGTCCGCTCTCCACTGGATCTGCCAGGCCTCATCACCCTGACCGTGCTCGGGCCTCTCTAAGGAGCCGGGCCAGCATCCCATAATAAAGAGCAAGTCGGACAAAAGTGTCAGGTAGCAGACAGCTTGCAGGGAGTTGAGAGGTAAGTCTATCCTCCTGAGGCCCAGACAGCACGACTGTGTGCATGGGGGTCGGGTGCACATTTCTAGCATCAGTGCAGGGGTGTGAAACTGGGGAGAAGCCACAGGTGGAGGTACAGATGGTAAAGCATCAGCAGCTGCTCCCGGGGTCCACACAGAGGTCACCCATCCCCACAGAGCCGCTCGGCAAACCTGCGAACAGTAAGGGGAGATGACAGACCACACAGTGGATAAAGTGGGCACCTGGGCAAGGGCATCTGAGGCACCCCATGGGGTTTGAACCACAGGGAAGGGCCTGAAGAGACACATGGGTCCAACCCTCCTGCAGGTGGAGGCAAGGCTGACCCTCCTGTACTCTGTTCATTCAGTAAACATCTCCTGGGCACAGGGGCCATCCTACCGCAGAGGGCTTGGCAGGGGAAGAAATCAGAAGCAGCCTTGCCTCTTGTGAAAATTACATGGGAAGAAACAGAAAGGAAGCAGATCCACAGGCAAGATCAAGGTACAAGTAAAAGTTATGAAGAAAATAAAGGAGACTAAGACAGGAGGGATGAGGTGGAGGAGGGTGGTTAATTAGAAGTGGGCGGTTGGGGAAGGCTTGGCAATGAAGCGATATTTGACTTTTGACTGAAGTGACAAGAGGGACCGGCTGCTTGAAGGTCGGGGAACAGAGTGTCCAGGCAGATGGAGCAGCTCGTGCAAAGATACCAAGGTGGAAATCAGGATGGGAGCGTTCAAGGAGCAGAAAGTAGGCCAGTGTGCTTGGCGCAGAGTGTTGTGGTGATGTGGCCAAGAGGGCCACCCTAGGGAGTTTGGATTCTACTGAAAGCCAAAGAAAGACCATTATAGCGTTTCAGCAGAAAATGACATCACTGAAGAATACCACAAAAAGGGAGACCCATTACGAGGCTGGGGCCGTGGTCCTGCCTGGAGATGACACGGCCTGGCGCAGAGGATGTGTCGAGGTGAAGCTGAAAGATGGGGTATGAGGTGTGAGAGAAAGGGAGGAATTAGATGGGCTCTGGGGTTGGTTTTGAACAACTGGATGGGTTTTTTTTAAGAGATGGGGAGATTGAGGGGAAGCAGGTTCAGATGAGGACCAACGGCTCCACTTTGTCATGTTAACTTTGAGGGTCTTTCCAAACATCAAATGCAGGGGCTCAGTTGGCAGGTGGATCCCCAAGGAGCTTGGCAGGAGGGCTCTGCACCAGCAGGTGTGTCCCAACATTTCCCGCAACAGAGGATACCTACTGCGTGTGAGTCCCCTGCCTCCCGAGTAGGTTTTCCAGGTGCCGAGTAAGAAGGTCTAAGACTGAGTTGGGGAGAACCGCGAAGAAAACTGCCACAGGCGGGGAGCTCTAGGAATTGGAAAGTCTAGTTCCTGAGTTTTCAGCTTGCTGGTCATCTGACCTTCATGCATTTGCTAGTTCTCACATCCTTCATCTGTAACGTGGAGACACAAGACAATAGGAATGAAAGTGCCTGATACACGCTTGCCACAGAGTAACTGCCCAATGAACAGGCAGTTGACCCATAAATATTCCACTGGAAAGGTGTACTATGCTCTGAGTGTTTGTGCCCCCGCCAAATTCATATGTGGAAATCCTAACCGCCAGGTGATGGTATTAGTCGGCGGGGGCCTTTTGGAGGTGATGAGTTCCAGAGGGAGGATCCTCCATCAATGGGATTAGTGACCTTAAAGAGAGCCCAGAAAGGGGCTTCCCTGGTGGCGCAGTGGTTGAGAGTCCGCCTGCCGATGCAGGGGACATGGATTCCTGCCCCGGTCTGGGAAGATCCCACATGCCGCGGAGCGGCTGGGCCCGTGAGCCATGGCCGCTGAGCCTTTGCGTCCGGAGCCTGTGCTCCAAAAAGACAGTCCAGAGAGGGCCCAGGTCTTTTCCATCCAGTGATGGAGGACACAAGAAGTTTGCAACCTGGAAGAGGGCCCTCCCCCAGCCAGGCCGCCCCGGGGCCTCAGACTTCCTGCCTCCAGGACTGTGAGCAATAAGTTTCTGCTGTTAACAAGCCCCCCAGGGGGTGGCATGTTGTTATAGCAACCTGATAACACTAAGACAAGGTGTTTGCATTTTGCTGGGGGGAAAGGAAGTAGATAAGTAAATGTTAGGGCTGGTGAGTGGCTGTTTGGAAATGGGGGGGTGGGAGAAAAAGAGG